ATTAGAAATACTGTTAGTGAAATTATTCACATTTTCAATCCAAGACCTGGATTCCAACCAAGAATTTTTAACTTGAACATTGAAGTCCTCATGCGAAACCAAGGAGTCAAAAATTTAAAGGGTTTAGATTAGGACACACTATTATGCCTACTTTTAATTCTCAACCATAAAGCCACATGATCAGACTTAAGAATATGGAGGTGAATGAGAGAGCTATTTTGAAATAAAGCCCTCCAAGCATCATTAGCCACAACTCTATCAATTCGTTCCTTAATATTACCCCTTTGTCAGGTAAAGGGATTACCCTTAAACCCCAAATCCTAGAGACCACATTTATTAAGACAATAAGCAAAATTATTCATCAAATTTAAATTAACAGGTCTACCTCCAACTTTCTCTGTCTCAAAGAGAATAGAATTAAAATCCCCAGCAATGCACCAGGGATAATGAGTCCTAGAACTAAAATCAACAAGGTGTTCCCAGCATTCAGACCTAAGCCCTTCTTGAGGGCTAATATATACAGCAGATAGAATCCAACAATTCTGCCTATTACTGATTTTAAGATGGATAAAAAAAATTATTCTTTTCCAACACATCAACCTTCATTTTTCTAGTGTTCCAACAACACCATATTCCTCCAAAGAAACCTATAGCATCCACCTTACTAATACTATCTAGATTAAATTTATTAATAACCATATCAGTTTTAGCAGCAGAAATTCTAGGTTCAAATAAAGCTAAAAAATCTAAGTTGTGAATCTTAATAAGGTCATTAATAAGTCGGGAGAAAGTCTTACCCCCCTCGCTCCTCTACAATTCCAAAAAAGATAATTCATAAAAAAATAGAGAAAATTAATCAGTAGCATCTCTAAGATGCTGAGGCCTTAGCTCATCTCTGATTAGCTCATTATTAATAATAGAGGAATCAATATCCATTGAAGGAGCATGAACTGAAGAACTGTCAGGGAGTTTAGGTGCAAAGTTAGCCAAACCTTCTTCCACCCTTCCAAGATTCATAGCTAACAAATCTTGAATAGATCCATCCCTAGCTTTATGAGCAAGCTCTTGTTCTAGCCTTTTCATTAATATAAAAACTTCCTTTTCTTCTTGATTAGACTTTCCCAAAGCTTGTATACTAAGAGAGGAAGAATTATCATTATTAAGGGAGATGTTGTCCCTTTTCTCAATGATGCTTATTTCTGGCTTATGTCTAACCTTAGCCTTTAAGGGTTTTTCAGGATGGAAATTAGAATTATCTTCATACAGGGTTTTCTTAGAGGGCTGAGGACCAGCTGAGTCAATTTGACTCAAATCAATAGGAGATGGTTTCTTAGAAAGACTAGCAAAATTTAGAAATTGGGAAAAATTTTCCTGATCATGCTCAGGAGGAGAGATATCTAAAATATTAAATCTGGATCTTAGAGGGCAGCCTTTCCGTTTCGAAATTTGATTGGGATTTCCCATGACTCTAGATTGTTCCTAACAAGTTTTTTAACAAGCATCCATGGACCATACTTTCCCTGTTCATTGGATAGATTGCCTTCAGCAGACTCTTGGGACCTTTCTACAGGAGATGATTCTTGTAAAATTGATTCACTACTTTGTTCTACTAAGGGAGATATCTATAGGTATAGGGTCAGATGTATAACATTCATTTTTAGGACTAAGATGTTCAGGGCAGGATTCCTGTCTGTGCCCATATCTCCCGCAATTAAAACAAATGAGGTGAAGACCCTTGTATTCAATTCTAAATTACTGCCCTAAAACTTTGAAGGAAGGGATTAGCTTCTTTCTTAAGTCAAGCTAAATACATATCCTAGCAAATCTTCCCCTAGAAACTAGAGAAGTATGGGAATTAACTTTTAGCATTGTACCTAAGCAGGATCCTACTTGCCATAGAAACTTGTCATTATAGAGTTCTAAGGGAAGGTCAGGTATTCTAATCCAAGCAGCAATTTTCTTAAGATTATGATCCTTAGGTCTAAATAGCGATCTCCATCGCTGAACTAACAGATAGTGATCAAGGATTAACCACCGCCCCTCAAAAAGAGCATGTTTATAGTCTTCCATATTATTAAATTTTACCATAAAAAATCGTTATTTAGGTCTAAGATTTTTAGAGGACCATTTTTACCCCAAATGTTTCCCAGCTTTTGATTAAGAAAATTAAAGCTCACAGTTTTACCCAATAGCTTAACAATAAAGGTTGAGGACCAAGGGGAGCACCACATTTCGTAATCTTCTAGAGCAATATTTAACTCTGGGCATAAAGAATGGTTATCATCCTTAACAGATTCATTATCATTAGATTCAACATGCATATTTAAATCTTCTAAGACTGACTTAACAATTTCATCATCACGAAATACCAGATCAAAATCTTTTTGCCCTAAGACTGGATCTTTATAAGACATCAGAGGAGGAGAATCAAGTTTAGGTAACACCTGGGGGGAGAAGTTGACACTAGGACCTTCCTCTTGCATATGAGCTTGGCCAACATCTTTCATGAGCGATAGGAGAACTTCAGAGGAAGGATCAGTAGAAACTTTCATCTTTTTCGTATTTCGTCGCAACAGGTCTTGCTCTTTAGAAGAGCATTTTTCTATTGTAGCATGGTCCATTAATAGATTTCCAGGGAAGATCAAAGTATTAGGAAGAGAAACTCCTTGACGGAGTCACTAGAAAGCCGCCAGAAGCGTGGAGGCACAAGGAGGAAGCTCAGAGAGGACTAAGAGTAAAGGAAACCCTAGCAGAGCTCCTTAGATCTAAAGTGGCGCCTCACCCAAGAAAAAGTCTTGGAAACCCTAGCGGAGCAAAAAAGTCATATTTCTATTTCTATAAATAACACATAATTTAAATGTTATTGTTTAGATTAGTTTTATAAAAAAAATAAAGAAATCAAATCAGTTCACTTTAGGAGACATTTTTAAAAATTATAGAAAGAGTTTAGAGTTTTCACAAGTTTTTAAAATAAAATAAAATCCCATAAAAAATTATTAAATAAATGTTATTTAATTAAGTTGCGTTATAAACTCATCCTTAATCAATAATTATGAGGGAGAAAATAAATGTTAAATTTTATTCCTTTTTAAGATACAGTGGTCCCAACACTTGGGTAGATAAAAATACACGTCATTCTCCATATGCCTGTGTCATTCTTTAGCTTTAGCTTAATGGAAAGGAACAGATTGATCTGGACTGTTTTAGTGGAGAGGTTCAATAATCACTTCACTGGAGAAATTTTTCCAAAAGCAACCAATGTGTGCTTACCTGCAATCTTCGTTTTTCTTTTGGAATATATCCCAATTACACAGTACCCTCAAACCACAGATTAATTTCACCAATTTTTTAATATTTGAATTTAAGCATTTTCAATTAATATTTTTAATAAATATTAATTATATTAAAAAGATAAAATATCATAAATACTCTTATCATTAGGTTTTTTTTTTTTCATAATATATACTAATTTTTCGGATTATTAAATTAGACTTAAACATTAATGTTACTTTTTTTGAAAAAAATTAAGTCGGAAATTTGTACCGGTTATTGGAAAAGTGGTAATTATTTGGATGAAGTGAACCTAGTGGCCAGGTGGGTATACACTAGTGAAGTGAGATAACATCACTAACAAGGCTTTGGAAATTGGTGATGAAGCTGACTAATGCTAACGTTTAGACATCTTTCAATTTCATCTTTGGACGTTCCTACACGGCACAGAATAAGACCTGGGATTTGTTTAATAAATTTTTGTTGTAATTTTAAATAAATCTTAGTTAATAATAAAGAATATATTATAAAAAATATGTTCACTAGTTTTTAAGAGTTTAATGCCAGCCCCATAGATTTGCGTCTTTGCTTATCCTTAAGTAGCTCATACGAAACCAATCTACACCCTACGTCTATTACAACAAAACCCATACACTGAAGTTTGCACCCATTTTCCGGTTAATAAAATTTCCATCCTTTAATTTACGTTAGTTAAATAGTTGTTAGTTGGCGTTGTTTATATCAATCTTACCATTTGGCTCTCCTTAGTCCTTAAAATAAGGATACCCTAATTAAAATGATGCTTTATGTTGGAAAGGGACTTTCGAGGTATATTTAATACGAAGGTATATAAAAGAACCATCTGGAGTTGGCACCTAGCTAGCACAAAGAATATGTTCGATTTCCCTAAGATAAGTACTCTTTTTTTGTGGTGGGACCGATCCTAGAGATAACCAAATGGGCATTATTTGCAGACAAAAATAGCATAGCTCACTCATATGGGATGTGGCCATCTATTATACCTCACTCTACATCACAAACATGACCAAACAAATGTCTCATTATAGTTTTCAAGTGCGTATTTGGCTTACATTATATAGTGCTTCACCAACGTTCAAAAATTGATGTGTTGTTCTCTTTTTTTCCTGTGGATTGCATCCCAACGTATTCTTTAAGTCATTTGAACCTAAACAAATAACAAACGATAATTTGCTTCCATTATTTTCCATAATAGACACTGCCAACAAAAGAAATAATATACCAGAACGATAACATTTGCTATATAATATTAGCCGACAAGATATCAAAATCATATGCATTGAGAAACTTAAGTCTCGAACGCTCTTTAGGCATAACAGGGAAACATATTTTTAAACTTTTGTGATAATTCATAAAAATAATGCTTGTAATAAATATATAAAAAAGAATATATCTATTGACGGTTTTATATAAAAATTTTATTTTCAACTAAGCATCATTTTCTTCGTCACTAATCAAATTAATAATTTTAAAAAATGAGAGTGACAAACAAACACATTAAGTTAAAAGAAAAGTACATTAAAGTGTGTTGTGTAAGTGTGCGTACTGTACCTTTGTTAGGGTCATAGTAGTAATTTCATAAATACTCTTCCTCTGTAATCGCGAAATAGAATCCATGCTATATAAGTTGGCAACTTCACCATCATCCAACTAAAACCTGAAAACTCTCTTTTATTGTTCAAATTCAAAATATGGGGTTAGAAGGGAAGGAAACGTCGTCGTTTATGAAGGATTTTGTTGACAAGTGCGGTGGCTACGCCGTCATTGACGGTGGTTTTGCGACTGAACTTGAGCGCCATGGGGCAGACCTCAACGACCCCCTTTGGAGTGCCAAGTGCCTTATTAGCTCTCCACATCTAGTTCGAAGGGTACCTCATTTTTTACTCTTTCTTTCTTTTCCTTTTTCTCCGTTTCGTTTTAATGCAAATTCATGAATATACAAAATATTAACTCTGAACATAATTTCTCCAATTATATATATTTTTTATTTTTAAGATATTTTTAAATACTTACTTTCAAGCTTTTTGAGAGTAAGATTTTCCTATATTTAAAAGCAAATACAAAGTAAAACTCTCAACATAAATTCTTTGTGCCTATTAATTAATTAATAGCTTATCATAGCTAATAGCAATTTAATTTGATTCAACGGTGGTCGGAGATTCTATTCAACAACTTTTTAAAAAAAAAAAATAATATCCGTTTGATGTTTTGGGTTTGATTGGTTATGCATTTCTAGATTAGCTTTGATAAACAGGAAATAAAATTATGCGACGGGAAAGGATAAAAAAAGTCTAAATAGCATACGTGGCAAGTTCTGTTGTCCACGCGTTAGTACGCCATGGATTCTAGTGTTACGTGTGAGGCATTCATGGCGGGCATATATATATATATATTGAATTTTTTTATATAAAAAATTAAGATAAATAAAATATTTATATTAATTGAATAATTTAAAACTAGAAAATATTAATATGGAGTAAAGTAATAAGTTTATTAAATAATTATTAAAAGTTATTTAGATTTATTAGTTTGTGTAATTTTTTAGTCGATAAAATAGGAATACAGATAGTAATAATTTTAAAAGTAGCATTCTTATGGTTGATATTTAGTTTAAAATTAACTGAACAATTTATGTTTATATATTTCACTCTAAGTATCGTGTTTATATATAATTGTTGATATAAATTACTTTAATAAAAGGAAATGATGAAACAACCCGAAACTGGTTTGTTGTATATAATATTTAAGTAATTTGTTTGCTTTGTTCTTGATAAGAACTAGACTTTCTTGTAATAGGAGAAACGTTACTTTAATTGGGAGAACCTTATCTTGTAGATCAAGTTGACATGTTTGGATATATATGATCAATCATACAGCTTTTGATTACAAAACCTATGACGTGCACTCATATACAAAGAAAGAAGAAAAGAGTGAGAAAAAGAAATTTAATAGAGCCATTACAAAGTATTTATGTACTTTATGAACAAGTCACAACTGTTCATTTCATTTAATTGAATTTGCTGAACGTGTAACAGGTTCACCTAGATTACCTTGATGCAGGAGCAAACATAATAATAACAGCATCTTATCAGGTAATTATCATTTGAACTGTTTTCACCCCACAAATCCACAACCTTAATCATGTGGATAAGTTGTAGCAACCTATCATTTAACATAATTATTATTAATATTTTTGTTATAAATTTTGACTCTTTCTGGAGTTGGGATGCAGGCCACTATTCAGGGCTTTGAGGCCAAAGGGATCGCTAGAGAAGAAGGTGAAATTTTGCTTAGAAAAAGTGTGGAGATTGCACGTGAGGCTCGAGAAATTTATTATGATAGGTGTACCAAAGATTTTTCTGACTTTATGCGGGATGAAAGATATAGAAGACGTCCCATTTTAATTGCAGCTTCTGTGGGAAGTTATGGAGCATATTTGGCAGATGGTTCTGAATATATGTGAGTGAATATGACCAATTATATTAAAATAGTCAACAAAGTTGGGATTTTCATTGGTTTCAATTAATACTCGCTGTTTTGCACCATAATCTTTTACCAACTACTGAATTGCAAACATACTTTACTACTTGTAGTGTTATATATGAATTTAAGATGAGAATTATAATGTGATGCAAGTTTTAGAGATGTTATTACCAGTATTGGAACCTCTTAACAATATGCTTTGTTGCTGGAAAGATGGATCCAAATGTTATAGAATAAGCCTCAGGGCATGGATGCTTTGCATTTATTTGAAGTTCTTTGTCTTCTGAATTTGAGTCTATATTAACTGATTGTCTCTCTTCACAGAGGGGACTATGGTGATGCAGTTACTGTCCAGACACTGAAAGATTTTCACAGGGAAAGGATAAAGATTCTTGTTGATGTGGGTGCGGACTTAATTGCCTTTGAAACAATTCCAAATAAGCTGGAGGCAAAGGTACTAACTATTGATTCATGTTGCTTTTTATGTTGGTGCATCTGTTGGATTCTGTAATATCCTGAGTGCATAATGCTGTATGAATTATCATTTGCTAACACCACAGGAAGTTGGAACCTGGTTTCCCCTTGATTTTGAGCAATGTTATTAATTTCTGTTGCAATTTAATGTAGGCTTATGCTGAACTTCTTGCGGAAGAAGGCATAGAAACTCCTGCATGGTTTTCTTTTACTTGTAAGGATGAAACCAAAGTGGTTAGTGGTGATTCTATCTTTGAGTGTGCTTCAATAGCTGATTCATGCAGACAAGTCGTTGCAGTTGGAGTCAACTGTACTGCTCCTAGATTTATTCACGGATTAATTTCATCCATTACAAAGGTGTGACTTTTGTATAATACCCTGTGCTCGTCTCTACTAAAATGTTCTAATTTTCTAAATTTATTTTGAATAACTTAAGACAAATAACTGGTGGCCATGTAAATGGTTTTGGTATCATGGTTCCTAGATTCCTAATTTCATATATCGCTATTACACTATCAATTAGCTTAGTCTTCAATATAAACAGGGAGAATGTTAACGATAACGAGTGTTCTTATGATACTAGTTACAGAAACAAAACTAAAAAGTATTTAATGAAATGAAAACATTTGGTTTTTCAAGTAATTGGAACTATTATACATGTTGTATTGATTGTATTTTTAACTAGTGTCAGGACCTTGTAAAATATTGTCAAACGAGGATGCTAATAACAATCTTTCTGTATTTTGTCCAATAGCAGCACACAATTTGACACTCTCTTTTTAAATTGCAGGCAACAAGTAAACCAGTACTAGTATATCCCAACAGTGGGGAGACTTATATTGCTGAGAGCAACCAATGGGTGGTGAGTTCCTGCTTCTCTCTTTACATGGCTCCAGCTTGTTTATGTTCAAGTTCAACCAACTGCAATCTAGTTGTGATTATAATATATGATACCTCTTCAACAATTTAAATATAGCTGAACCTCAGATTGTATGTTCCACTTCCCATGCCATGACTTATAATGGACAGTCTATAATTCGTAAAGAATTTTTCAAAATATAATCTGAGTGCAGTTACTGAAAACAAATTAACATGCATACATTCTTTTAACACTTGCCTCCTTAGTAATGTGGCAGAAGTCTCTTTTGTGAAATCACAACATGCTATGTACTAGCACAATTCAGACATGTATGAATCCATATATTTAAGATATAAAATCAGATTGATAATCTGAAATTATCCTGCAGAAATCAAGTGGGATAGCAGAGAATGATTTTGTCCCCTACATAGGCAACTGGCATGATGCTGGGGCTTCCCTCTTTGGAGGCTGCTGTAGGACTACTCCCAATACTATCAGAGGCATAGCGGAGGCAATATGCGGAAAACTTCAAGACAAATAAATGAATATAACTGTTGAACTATCTGTAATGGAAGAAATGACAGTAACCTGGAGGAAGTGGCTAGTTTTCTTCAGTCATGCATCCACTTTCTTATATGGCTGGCATGCACTTACTTTTGCACAAGGATATAACAGAGAATTTTAAAAAAAATATATTAAAATATAATAGTTAAAAAAGTAAGTATCATGAAGGTCAAAATCGATAAGTAGGTTTGATACGCGAGGATACGAATGCAAGTGTGTCGCACGTGTAACATGCATATGTCATGATCGGTGCAACTAGTAATAATGGGTATGCTTTTGATTTTCAATGAATATTCACGGGGACCGGTTAGAAAAAGCTCATGATGTTCTAAAATCGGTTGAGTGATAGGAGTTCTACAAAATGATTGAGCATCAAAACTAATAAAAAACTAGGAATTACAAGTTAAGATGGCATCCCTTTCATTTATGTCTCCCTTTTCAACTTCAGTTGGTAACACGTTTTAATGTGAAGCATATGATTGAGATTAATTTAAGTATATGTATACATCAATTACGTTTTAGTGTAAAATCATCTTGAATAAGTCCTCTATAATCCTGAGAAATTTTGACTGAATTCTGTCAGTTTGTCTTTTTTCTGGCTATATAATAAAATGGTTTGTATAGTTTGGTAACAAAAGATTGTGAATGGTGCAAAGGAAAGTGTAATTTGTTATTGATAAAACCTCCCTGAACAAGGTATGCCAAGGGAAGTTTCTAAAATAAAAGAAAAGTTTGGAACATTTATAAAGCGAAGAATTAAAGTGAATAACATATAATTTCAAGATTGAAGATTAATCTTGGTTTTCAGTTTGAAATCCCCCATCATGATTTAGGCAACCATGGATCTTCGGAGAGTGCTTTCACTCCAATGGGCTACACTATGCCCATGATGATTTTATCCAGGCTCAACGTCAATGCGTGTTGAACTGAAAGGCCTGAACAAAACTTAACAGTATTCGATTTTGGCAATGAGGGCCCAACTTTTCTTTTTTATTTTTAGAACATTCTCTTGTTCAATATGTAAAAGATTCAGACAAATAATTATAAAAAAAATCACATTTTTGTGTATACTGTTTTCAAAACTTATTTTCATACTTGTGTATACAAATTTATGAATACAAGAAAACAAATTAAGCGGGAGGGGGGAATACTAACATATAAGCCATATTTTACGGCAACATAATTTAATGTTAATTTAATTAACTATGTAATTAGATGTAACTTTAGTACTAATCCATTACAAAAACTAAAATTAATAAAAAATTTAAATTTTTTATTACAAAAATATTTCTTGTGTTTTACTTATTAATACCGTAATTCGGCACATATTAAATATGTGTTTTGAAAAAAATAAAAGATCTCAAGTGGCATAAACTAAAAAAAAAACAGGAGAAATGTGAACCAAAACAAAACTGAAAATCTTATATAATTGTTTGTGTAAAAAATTACTTTTTAGAACAAGACAAAATTCATTTATAACTTGTACACTTAAAAGAAATAAGTTTTAATCGAAATACTTTTGATATACACAAACTAAAAAAATGAGCCGATCATGTCATTTGGTGGTAAACTAAAAATAAATAATTTTTTTATAAGTTAAAAAAAATTACAATTTTCAAATTTTAAAAAAGTTAAATTAATAAAATAAAATAAAACATGAATTAATTTTAATTTATAAGATGAGTTTGATTTATTTTACTACTTAATTTTTAACTCATACAAGTACTTATTGAAATGTTTATCCAAAATAAATATTACAATAAACTTTTCATTATCAGTTATACATTTTAAACTAGTTAAAAAAAAATTAAGGACCCATAACATTATATATAATAAAATATTGGTACTAATACTAGCTTAAATATATTTCTAATTCACATATATCTATGAAAAATAGTATTTAGTTCCTAATATTTTAAAAGAATAAAAATTAGTCTTTATTATTGATTTATTAATTTGTGAAAATTACTTTAGAAAGACTATTGGTTGACTTTTTAACATGTTAGAAATTAAATAATAATGTTTTTAAATAAATGTTTAAAAATAACATAATTTATAAGAACTAGCAACTTATTGAAGCCTAACAATATTTAGATTAAATCGATTGCATGTGGAGACAACGGACTTCTTTTTTTTATGTTTTTTTAATTAAAAATGTTTTATTAAAAGGAAAAGTTGTATGATAATAAGATATTTTAAAATTAAACAAAATAATTAAAATATTTTCCCGTAAATTAAAAGAAAGAATTTAATTTAAAAATAAAAAAGTGAACTGGTTTGAAAATGACGTAAATGCAATGTATATTTTATGACAGAACTAGACGAAGATGAATGATAGGTGGAAAGTTGATGGAAGACATGATCTTGGAACAGTCAGATACCCCATAATTTGATGAGGCAATATGAATGGGTGGAAGGGGAAATGCATCACAGCCACAAATGTCATGAAAATGCATAACTTGTTTTCCTATATTGTAGTCTCTACTCACTACTCCTAATATCATTTTACTATACATCTTTTCATATTCCCAAATCACATTCATTTCTATTTTCCCTCTCCATTCCAAATCCCATTGATGTTCAGAAAAATACTGCTACAATTTTATCATCCACAAAACTACCTATTTTTATTTCGATTTCCCTTTTTCGTATTACAAAAATTACTTTTTTTAGTTAAGTTCAATTAGCCATTTTTACAGTTAATTATAATAGATTGTTGTTTAATAAAAATATATATGTATTTTTAACATAATTATATCGTATTATTTAATAATATAAAAATTTTAAAGAAAAAATATGTTACTTGTTTAATGAGTGAATTCATACTTGAGAAAAAGAAGCAATAACAAGGACGTGGGATCAGCCAAAGTTAATTGAGGTCCAACAATATACTGTAGTTAACTAAACCGGCACAGTTAGCCACGTGGCCACTCATAGTCTTCCATATAAATAGATGAATTTGATAACTTTTATTTAAATTATAATAGATGCATAAAAAAATAATATTTTATTAAAAATTATTAAAATCAGTTAATTTGTTATTTTTTAATAAAATATTATTCATTTTATAAATATATACACTTGCATCTAAATACTATAAAGTTCGGGATTCGCTCCTTAAAAAACTATCTATTTAATAAAAATAATAATTCAATGTAATTTATTAACTAACTTTTTGCAAATAAATGAATTACTTGAATTTGTGTAAGAATAAAAATAAATAGTAGATAAATAAATTGATTTGTCATATATTTGACACCTAACAATTAAACATACCGTGCTAAATTTTAGTATAATTTTGTTTTGCTTGTTGATGATTTATCTTGTTTAGCGTGAGAGTTTTCAACTTTTTTCTTTTTATGGTTTTTTTAACCTATATTAAAGGGAATGTAACAAAAAGTTAATAAATATTAAATTTCTAATAAAACTATAATATTTAATACATTAAATTATATTAAAAATATATTTTTTAAATTAAAACTTATTATATAATTTTTTATATTTTTTAATGTATGTCCTCGCATGATAAAAATTAATAAATAATGATTTTTATTTAACATTATCAATATATTACATCTTTCTAATTTTTTTTTATATATCACTGGATTCACGTTAAAAAGAATTATTATTTACTCTTTTACACAAATTTAAAAAATGTCATTTTTCTTAAAAAAAAACTGTGTTAAACTTGAACCCACTCAATTTAAGGAGAGTAGCAATAAAAGAACTCAATTTGAACACATGACAACTTTCATAGCCACGTAGAAGGTGTAACTGATCAATTTAGCATGTCCCAACAAAAATATGCACCACTTATCAAATAAACACTAGCAAAAGCATGGTTGTACATCAATATATACTACCAACTTTAAGTACAATTTTCATTAACTCATTAAATACTCTTTGAAAATGTTTTCCCTATTGTTTTTGACATCTTTTATGCCCTTAGGTGCATTCTATCATCTCCCCTCTTTGCACTAGACCATTGTAACCTATGAGCATTTTCTCAAAATTGTGATCCTTTCACAAGATTAAAGATTGATCTTATTGGAAAAGGGGGTTCCTTCTTATTATTAGTTCTTTCTTTTTATCCTTAAGATTATGAATTTCTTGCTCTATCCTTAAAGATTGGTCTTGATTATCATGGAATTCTATTTTATATATCCCTTATAATTCAGTCCATAGCTAAAATTACAATAAATCGATAATACGTTTTGACCTATATCGTTCCAATTTTAATATAGTTTTGTGTTTTTTTATTTAATTATGTTTATCTCATTATGCCTATTGTTAAAAGGATTAATTGCCTTTTATCTAGTTGATTGTTTAACTAGGGACTGTATTGCACTTATTTAATTAATAGATTATATAAAAAATATTAATACTGCATTTCGTTTGATATTAATATTAGCACAATGAGTGATTAGTAATTGACAAGTAATACATGTTATATAAAATTTAGATAATAAATTAGAATTGTACAAGTAAAACCAAATGCTTACAGTTGAATTCTTACTCCAATATCTTTTGAAATTGCATTTGGTCTTTTAGTTGTTTCCTTTATATTCTTGACATCTTTCGCATCCTTTTTCAGTTGCCTAATTTGTAGCTAAAAATTTAGAATATTTGTCAACAATTTCTTGAAATTCTTTGTACTTGTTAATGAATGCATTTGACCAACAAAAAATTATCAATAAATATAAAAAATTTACCTAAGTTTAAAGAACCGGCTCATCATCAAGTCCAACTAAATGAACAAAGAAATGAAGCGGAAAATTTCGTATATGCTGTAGTTAGTGAGGGAACAAGAAACTTAAAAACAACATAAAATTGTGAAGCAACGTCGTTAAATAGTTTTGCAGAGTGACTTGTAAACACTGTTAGAATGGAAATGCCGCTGAATAACATTAATAATGAAAGGGACTAAAATCTACACCACTTGGTCTGACCATGTTTTTTAAATTATGACAACTTCTTTATGTTGTATATTTGTTTCATAAAATTCCATATCTTCATCATACAAGTAATAAATACTTCTGAGATTATATAAAATAATATAAAATGCCAATTTTATTTCTTAAAATCAAGTT